TAGATTTTACGGCATTACGGTATCTTTTTGTCACCAATATGTAATCTATTTGGTTTCTGACCACTTTTTCTTGTGTATGTTGAGGTGACGTAAACGTATATAGTCGCCTTGGGGGTAGTTTAAAGAATGTATTAGTTATTATTAAATCTTCGCATTGACAAAACTGAACTAAACGATCACCCCTTTCATTTCTATTACCTAAGCCATATTCACCGACATTTTCTCCAACTTTACCCTGACCTACCTTGGCGTTCAGATCGCCCATTACTATGTTAATGTGTTGTCTCTTTGTTGTTCTCATCACCTCTTCTAAGATATTATAGAATTGTTCTATTTCCTCTTCGTCTTTCTCTGCTGTAGGAGCGTACACTTGTATGATGTTTATCATGTTCTTCTTATCTTTTAATTGTATTAACATCACGCGCTCTGAGAATGGAGTAAAGTTTACTACAGCATCTTTCCATTTTTTTGAGATGATGACTCCTACTCCGTATCGATGGGTTTTGGTGTCACTTCCGGCATAATAAAACATACCATGATTATTTGTGGGACATTTGCCGTTTCCTGGCCATTGTGTATCGCTCATGCCTAATATGTCTATACCCAAACGATCCATTTCCAACACGACGTTATCTAATTTGCAGATTATTGTAAAAAAAGAGTTTTCTACGACCAATAGGAGCCGAGTTAGCATCTTTTTTTTTTTAATCACAGAGGGTTTATTAATAACAATTAAGAAACGAATCTGGCATCATTCACTACTAAAATCCTATATTTTCAAGTATTTGTATTCTCCGTAAATTAAAATCATTATTTATTGCTAAAAATGACGAATAAAGTTTACCTTTTTTCAAGCGATGGCCCAGAGGTAGTGGTGGGGATGACTTTCCGCAATAAGAAAAAAACTGAATCGGAAAAATTTGCAGTATCTCAGTTAAAAATGAACCGATTTCTATGATTTTTTTTAATCTTGGGTAGCTCGTCGAAATAATAACATCTGGGACACTTTCACCCTTAAAAACCACTTCCAACCCCCTTAATTTTTTTTAAATATTCAATTTTTTTCAATTCTTTTACTTTTACAATACTATTAAACGTAATCTACTACCAAATTATTATTGAGAACATCCCTATTTCTAAAGAAATTTAATATTCTAAAATATAGACTACTATTATTTCAGTATTTATCTTTTTTTTAATGCTTACTCTGCCTCGCTGTGTAATCTTTTAACAGTGAAAAATTATGTTAAAGTAAAGTTCAAATGATTAAAATTTCTATTTAAAAACAATCTATTTTCCAAAAAAAAACTCAAAAAAATTGATATTAAAAACTTTTGGTCAAATTAGATTTTTAGTACAATTTCATGAGAAATTAAATAATTGGTTTAATAAATTAAAATAAATATCATATACACGTATAAATTGCAAATTACTTTAATAGAAGGAATAAATTAGTGAAACAAAGATGAGGGAGCCCTGTACCTGGCTACCTACATTACGAGAGTTGGAAATCTTTGGATTCCAAGCCTTACTTCAAAGGACTTGTGAATGGATGCATCTCCATAGGTTTGGTTCTTCAGTGACCGTTGAAGGATAAGGATTCTTAATGTGGGCAAATATAGCTCCAGAGAAATAAAATCACTTTTGAGTTTATCGATTTATAATTAAATCTTTTAAGAGTAGAGAGGCCCAACACGGCCGTAACTTACTATACAATATTAAATGTACTCTTTCTTTATAACACGTAAAAGAAAAAACACCGGTATGAGAAAATGCCTGATCTCGGTGAAGAGAAATATATTGAACTGATAAAACACTACATAATGCGTGAACAGGAATATTACCCCTATTTTATTTAGGTGTGAAAAATATTTAACTCAGTCGGTGTCGCGTTCAAACTTGATAGGTGACTGTTCTAGTTATTCTACACTAAGAAAAGTCAAAGAATTACATTTTTATTTTATATTTTAAAACAATATGTTTATTTCTGGAACAAAAGATATAAACAGTAAAATAATTGTAAATTATTTATATATTATGGTTTTAAAATGAGATTCAATATTTATAAAGTCAGAAATATGCTTAGTTTTTATTTATTTTTCTTTTTTTAGTAGGTTGTACAATTTCCTCAGAATCATACAAAAAATTTATCCAAAACATCCATCTCATTCTCACATTCTTTTTCTGGGTCATCTAGTTTATATTCAGCAGTATGACAATTTTCGCAACTCTCTTCATTACAATGTTTGCACATTTTCAAACATTTTAGGCCGTGGTTAGGGCATCCGCAATGTTTGCGACATGCGGTTTCGGTGCTACATTGAAAAAAGGTAAACTTTATTCATCATTTTTAACAATAATTACTGATTTTAATTTAAGGAGAATACAAATATTTGAAAATATAAGTTCTAAAGTAGTAAATGACGCCAGATTCGTTTCTTATTGTTGTTAATAAAGCCTCTGTGATTAAAAAAAAATCAATATCCAAACATTTTTTGTTGAATGAACTGGGGAATTGCTCCTGAGGTTGCCCTTTTGTAACCTTGGCCACATTACATAAATTCCTGGATTACTTTTGTAACGACTATTTTGCTTACCACAGGGTAAGAATATGGGGGGACAAGATTGGGCAAACAAAATAATCGAAACAAGTGCATACGGCACTCAGTTGGTTGTTGGAGAGCTGGGTCGTGGATAAGTTGAAGATATTGGGGTTGGATTGGGGCAACTACAAAAAAAAGAAATAAAGGGGTACTTATACAAATCTCTTGGGACAAACAGAATGAAAATAAACAGAAACACCTCAAGAAATTTAATATAGGGCGCCACTTGAGGTGCCTAATTATACCTATTACAACCACTAGTTGTAACTAGGGAAATAATTATAGAACATCAAAAATATAGAAAAAAATATCTTTTTCAAATAAAACTCAAAATAGATCAGAGAAACAAATTAAACATTTATTTTTGTCTCACCAAACAGTTTTCAAAAATACAGCTTATACAAAGGCATATTATATAAAAATAGCTGTCGAATACAAATGAAAAAACTGATATCTGTTTACAAAAGGTTACAAAAACCTTCGAAATGGTTCCTAGCAAATAACGTGGCCAAATTAGATTAAAATTTTATGGATATCCTTTTGTGAAAAATAAAATTTAATCTTTACTATAAAATCAAAATATCTTTTACAAAAGATTAAACATCAAACTGTCATACGCCAAAACAAACATTTTTAAAACAGGATAAAATTATGACATGACAGTTTAAACCACGCCCTAACATAATATTTATTTTAATTACAAATATTTTTTTTAAATAATTTATAAAAGAAAGCAAATTTTGTCTTTTTAAAAGAAAATGTCTATTTTTACTTTAAAAATTAATAACGTAAATGTTACCTCAGTTCACACATGTTAACCTAAACTTTTGAACAACTGGCTAATTTCTATGGGGTATCTAACTGCACATCAACGGAAAGCTTTATTGGAAGCTGAAACTGGCACATTCAAATCAAAACTGCTTCAATATCATTCTATGTGAGGTGAAAAGGCGTCTCGGAAAGCAACTGGATTTCTCAAAAAACGAAAAGAAAGCAGAAACTAAACTCGTTCACTTCTCAAACATTATAAATCTTCAGCAAAATCAAAACAGTGGTTAGTGGTCACTCTTTCAGAAACGACATATTACATAGAGTGAAAATTCCACCATTTTTGGCGAATTAATGCCGGCTTACCACATCACAATTAAACGACCCTTCCTTCGAGCAATTCTTCATCACCTCCTTTCAAATCTTTGACTCAATTCTCACATGTCTGCCCCGTTTCTAATCAAATCTTAGATTCTACATTGTAGCACGTCTGCCCTGCTTGGAACTTAAATGTCGACTCCTTATCCGCATTACATTTTACAAATTCAAAGCCAAAAATAAATTCCCTTCCGTCTTACAGCTAGCCTGTCGTCCACAAACTTAAAAACAAACAATATTCCCCTTGTTATTCGTTCCTAACGATGAAAGACAAATAAAACCTTTTTTTATCAGGAGTCATCATAAATTTACATAATACAAATTAACAAAATAGCACGTATTTAAACCGGAGTTCTACCTGACTGTAACAAAAGGTTCGATATTTGAATCTAAACACAGACAAAAAACATCTATATTTACTTTTGAATCGGTAGAAATATACGCATTATTGATTATTCTAACCGGAATATTAGGGGGACTTCATGTAACATAATACCTCTTTGGCAAGAAAAAAACTTGTTGTTTCACCTAACATTGCAACACAGAGATAAAAACATATTTCCAGCGTTAATACGCATTTAAAAATCTCGTCAAAAAAACTTGAAATATTATTTCGATTGTTTTCTTTGGTAAAAACAACAGGAGCGTAACACAGAAATCTTTTCTATACACTTTAAATAAAAAACGCTACACTTTTTGGAGAGTACTTTTTCCCCCACAGCCTGGACTGTAAATATTGCTTTATATGCTTGTATCTATGGTGTTCTCTGAAAATATTTCAAAAATAATTTTCAAACTTTGATACAGAATATAGATGGTACATTTAATATAAGCGTCTGTTTATGTTGCTTACTAATAGACCAATGTTTTGAATTTTTTGGCTGTCGTTTAATGTATACTTCATCCTTCAGGATAAGCTGTAATAAAATAAATTACTGTATGTACTGAGTGCAAGGTTTCATCATTGAATAGTAGTTGTAATTTCCAAATTCTGTTTCATTTTATTTAAGACCTTTTTGTTGGTAGTTTAGTCTCACGTCTATCCTAATTTTTATTAATAAAGAAATTGTTTTTGATGGAATAGTAGCAACGTTAAAATGTGTAAAAATATTTGTCGCTTAGTAGAATACTAATTAATTGGTTTGTGTTTATTTTAAAGCCAACTTGATGGTGGGAATGGGTAAGCGTAAGTTACCATTTTTGTGTATGTCACCTAGTGGATATTTTACGTACTCAATGAAATATTTCCAGACTTGGAAGGAGGTAGATATTTCTTTAATGCCGTAAAGGAAGGCGACAGCATTATATATGCTAGTGACGATGAAAACGAATGTCATCTTTGGGTCATGGCGATGTACCGAGCAACTGGACAATCTCACAAGCCAACGCCTCCGCTTACTCTACAAGATAAAAATTCTACCATTTCTAAGATTCAGGGAGGTAAGTAAATAAGGAAACATGGCTCTAACAGTGTTTCTTTCATGTTTTCCTTTCACCAGTCAATATTTAATTGTCGTTATGTTTTATAGATGCTGACAGAGCAAGAAAGCATGGAATGGAGGATTTTATCTCTGCCGATCCCTGTCAGTTTGACCACGCTTCGCTATTTAAACTTTTCCAAAATCTTACGTTGGAATATCGATTAAATGATCCATACTGTTCATTGGTAAGTTTTAGGCTAATAGCTATAAATTGTATGTTATATTTACTGCAGCCAATTGACTCATAATATCATATTTTATATCCACTTGGTAGTCTCCTAAACGTGTTTGCCTACTACCGGGTGGTCCAATAAGCCAATCTCTCGGCTATGTATCAGAAACTATTCATGTTATAACTTTAGGAGAAAAAATTCCTTACTAAAAGTGACCGAAAGAAATAGCTGGAAATAACTTTCAACTTTCTGGGCTAGAGGGCGTAAACTGTGAAGAAAAATTTGAAAACCAGTTCTTGCGAAATATGCCCAATTATACCGAGTGTTAAGTAAGTAAACTAGAAAGAAGCCTAAATTGCGCGCAAAGTTGTTCAAGTACTTTTTTTATTGTTTCAAATAATGTATGGGGGAGAGTGGGAAAGTAGTTGTGGATAAATACCAACTTTGGTTTGGATCAACCGATTTTAACGAAATTAGTGTCATTAAAAACAGTGGGATGATTTAATTTACATCTGCTATAAAACAATTGCATTTAGTTTTAATTGTCATGGGTAGAGGGTTCTTTAGAATAGAAAAAATTAAAATTTATTTTTCTTCAAAATGTTTAATAGAAATACCTATTTATTGTAAATTATAATGCAACTGGATTAAATTCGTAAGAAAATGGCTCAAACCGCATGTTGATAGCTTTTGTCGAACTTCAGATATGAATAAAAATGCATAAACATAAATAAGTATAGTATTGACTCACCCTTTATTATAACTTAAAATTAAATATGCGAAAGATCTTAAAAATATCTCGATCATTAAAAATTATTGTCCAATTAAATGTTCAAATTGTTTTCCATCGTTGTCCACACAAAGATGTAATCTTTCGCGCGTAGACATAACAGCTACTTCACTCTCAGCTGGTGATGTACTATTTATTGCGTTTATAATGCGTTGTTTCGTATCGTCTCGCATGGTTGGTCGAGTTTGGTACACTAAGTCCTTCAATCTTCGCCACAGATAAAAGTCTAGACATGTTAAGTCAGGAGATCCAGCTGGCCATGAAAATATACTTCCCCTTCCAGTCCATTTATTTGGATAACTAGCATACATCTCGAACTCGTCTGGAAAAGTGCGCAGGACATCCGTCATGTTGTAATATCATATCTGTTCTTGTTTGTAAGGAAATATCTTCCAATAAAACGTGCAACTGATTTTCCAGAAAATCCAAATATGTTTCGCCATTTAAAGTTCTATCAAAGAAATATGGGCCTACAATCTTTCCATCAACTATACCACACCAAATATTAAGACTCGACATCTACCTTGAACCTGCACCTCATGTATTCAGTGCGGATTTTCTTCAGCCCAATAATGCATATTATGCAGATTAACACCACCCGCACTATTAAACGTAACCTTGTCTGTACACAAAACCTTTGACATGATATGCGGTTGTTCTTCTAGCAGACCTAACATCCAATTGCAGTAATCCAGCCTTGCATCAAATTCTCTCTCATGTAAAGCTTGATGGAAAACTACATAATAAGGATGCAGTCTAAAAACAACAAAAAATATTGTTGAAAAAGAAAGCACTATATTTAGTAAAACTCAAAAAATCTTGAAAAATCCACAATTGTTTCACAAGATAAATCGTGCATAAATATTTTTAAGAAATGGATAAAAGGCTAAAAGCGCCGTGTTACCGTTTTATCGGAATATTAAAATAACAGTTGAATCTAGAGTTAAAGGAAATTCCAAGTTTCTGACCTAAACGTTCACTTTATAATATGAAAAAACCAACCTGTGATGTTTTAAAATCCTTAAAACAGTAGTTTTGGGTATGTTTAATTCCATAGAGATTTGCCGACTACTTATATGTGGATTCTGTTGAATTAAAACATTGATTGAATTATGTTCGGTCATACCTCTACTACGTCGTTTAAAACAAGGACAATCTTCTTCTCTTTCTTTCAAATACTTCTTTTCCATAATGTCTCCTATCAGGATATCTTACAGAATATATACGTGAGGCAATAGCGGAATTTTGGTGACATTCAAAATAAACTCTAATCATATCATACAATTCTGCATTTGACATACTCATCACGAATGATTAGTACTGATAATTAATTCCTAATATTACCAACATTAATATCTATAAAACAAACTTTTTAATAGGAAGAAAATTTGCAATAACATTCAATACCTAATAAAAATTTTTTATGGCAGTTTCAATATTATTGTCTAACTATTGTTAACTTATTTTAAATCTAAAAAAGAGAAATATTCATTTACAACAGTAGCAGGATAACTCACAGGGCAGTGTGTTCGTAAACCGTCTTAATCAATTGAAATCCACAAAGCCAAAGGCAAATTATAATATCCAAATAAGTATGAATGAATCAGAGTTATGTGTGACAAGATTTTCAATGGTAGTACATTGGGTGAAATAGATGTTAATGTCCGATTTTGGTGGAATATAAGTTGCACCCAAGATGATACTTTTGCCACGAATATTAAGCTTAAGAAAAAGGTGCTCACAGTGGAGCTGATGCGCAACGAAACACTGTTTGATGGCCACAAGTACACCTTCTCCTCTTAAATATGAACTAGTGTTTGGATTACGGTCGATACGATTACTGCAGTAGGAATTTGTTCATTCAACCATGTTTCCACCAATATACATCAAAGTCACGTGCCAAAACTGAGGATCTTAAACATTAAATCTTATTCTATTGCCACCAGGATTTTGATAGTAACACTTAATGTCTGTGAAAGAGATCTACCTTTGTATTGTTTTTTTTTACCACTGGTTTTTACATCCTTAGAGATATTATTAACAAACATTAGGTCATTTTCCTTCCCATGTTCTTTTCTAACTTTAAGTTCATTAAAAACCTTATGTAGTTGTTCCTGCTGAAGTTTTGCCCTGTCCATGGCCACCCAAACAACACCAGTTGTAAATTTATTCTTTGACTTGAGAACTGGGAATTACTTAGAATACTGGATTGGAAGGGTCTTCTCTCACTTATTCTTTTAGAAAGGTTACTTGAGCTGGACTCTTGGACATTGTATAATTTTAAATTACTGACACTTCTAGAACGTTTATTGACCTCATTGAAAAAGTCATTCATATTTATATTACTTGACTGTTCAAGAGTTTTGTCTGATAAACCATGTAGAGCTTTGAGTTTTCTATTGTCGTCATCCAGTGTTGCGCTGAAGAGTAATAATCTTTTGGTCAAGGGTATTTATGTTTTATTTCAGTGTGACCATCTTTTTAAATAAATAGAGGAATTTTAAGAAAATATGGTCTGCAATTTTTATATAAAAGTATAAGATTGAGCGTTTTTGTATCACAACTGCCCAAATTTCACTAGCAGTTAAACCAGAGCATATTTCTAGGTGAGAAGGAGCTCTACAACAATCACAAAGAACAATTTTTGTATCATCATTAATTAAATCACTACACACAGTACACATTTGGCGCATCTTAACTTTTTAGAATTTTGAGAACTAACACAATCATAGATTGCTGCAATTTGATTTACTGCACTTGCTGATAGCAGTTAAAAGCAAGACTATCAGAAAAAAATTCTACAGAAAAATACATGGAGTATATAATAATATATACATAAAATAGTATAAACAAACATGTGTTTACTGTTAGTTAGGTTGTATATTAATTTGCAGCTTGTCTTCATAAAACAGCCTTATTATCTGCAGGTGTCCCTGGACTAGCGCATATATAGTAACGCAGACTGCGATGATTCTGAGCTACATTAATTATTAAATTAATACGTGAGACGTGAATCTGTTATTTGTTGTTTTCTCTTATTAGATTTTTTTATATTCGCTGCTTTAGGGGTATTCTTCTTTTGGTATTACAACCCTTTGTAAGTCTTGGAATTCTTAACAATGTTCTTCCATTCTGCCTTGCCTTCTTTTACGAGGCCTTTCTCTTATTCCATTTCCTTGGGGCTTCTATTTCTGGATACTTTTACCTCTCGATTTTGTGGTATTCTTTTTAAATGCCCATGCCAGCATAGTCTTTGTCTTTGTGATTTTATGAATCTAACAATGTCGCTTTAGGGGTATTACATTGCAATAAAAAAGTACAGAAAACCAGTCATTATACACTTCAATATATGGACGATCGATCTCATTATTGGTTAATGAGGTGTTTCTTCTATTTTCGGGAGGTAAAAAGTTAGATACCAAATTACTTCCCCTCTGTTTATATTTTTGGCATATCTTTAACTCAATCTGCTTTCATGAAACTTCCACAAAATACATAGTATAAAATTTCCAAATTTATGGCAGAAATATTTACAAACTATTGGAAGACATTATATATCGGAAAATTGTATTAAACATTGGAAACTATGAAATACACACAAATACATGGAACGGAATAATATAGAATAGAAATGAAAATATATTAATTAGTATTTTTCTAAGAACTTACGAACTGTTTTTTTTTGCAGGGTTGGTTTAGTCCTGGTCAAGTGTTTGTGCTAGACGAATACTGTGCCAGATATGGGGTTCGAGGGTGCTATAGACATTTATGTTATTTGTCAGACCTTTTAGATAGAGCAGAGAAGAATTTAATGATCGATCCGACTTTGATCCATTATAGTTTTGCATTTTGCGCCAGTCATGTCCATGGAAACAGGTTTGTAGATTATGATAGGGATGAAATAAAGCAATTAATTGATTACAACAGTAATAACTTTAGACCGGATGGAGTTGGGAGTGTCACACATGAAGAGAAGGAGAAGTTTCAAGAAGTTAAGGATCGTTTACGTGTTCTACTAGAAAATCAAATTACGAATTTTAGGTAAGATTGACGAAGATAAAGCTTGTCCCAGCAAATATTCGCTTAAAAATTGAAAAAAATTAGAAATCAGAAGATTTTGTATGAATATTTTTAAATACTTATCTTTACTTAAAAACATATTTCTAGATTTAGCAGAATATTGAAGGTACTGACTAGGTTTTTGTCGTACCTACATTTTTTTATGCTTGTTTGAGTATGCACTGTAACCTACATATAAAGTCGCTCATCAACATATAAAGTCAAAAAAATAGCAACTGTTCATTGATTACGTAAGAAGATCGTGACGGATACATTTTCTATGGTCGGAAAATCTGAAATTTTCTTTTCATATGCTATGCAAACGGAAATACGTATATATTTCTAATAACGGAATATACGTATAAATTGCGAAGAAGTATTTTTCTAGCTTGCAGTACAATAGGACAGGATATAACGAAAAAGTGTAATCATTTAACCCACTTAATTAAAAAATGATACAGATTTTTTAAGTTTTAAGCACTGTAGCAAATTCTGAACTTTTACAACGTACTGACCTTGATTAATTAGCTAATCAGTCAGCGTCTTCACTGGAACTGTCTTCATCATTGGAATCTTCCGCCAAATCGATGATAATCCTATTTTCATTTTCATCATATGTGACCATTTTGCCCAGTCGTCCTGAATTAATTTTTCAGTATGGTTAACACAACTCGCCCACACTGCAGGTGTTGCCTCAGCTTATGCATCGCCCCAAACTTTTTTTCACTGTTTCATCTCCACGTATATGTTCTACAATATGACGATCATAGTATTTTTAGAAATTCCCAGACCAACTCAATCGGATTATATTGACAGTGATATGGAGGCAATCTCAAAACCTGATGCCCATGTTCTTGGAGTAGCTCGTCTATAACGTACCTGGTATTTTGTGGTTTATTCTGGCGACAAAGACTCAATAGCTCTGTCTTGCCCGAATCGTTGTCAAAAAATATTTTTTTCACTCGTTTCGTAGAAAACAGTAATCCAGCATCTTAACAAATCCTTGCCTACTTCCGGCATGTAAAACAACAAAGCGTTTACCTGTATTTTCGTGTCCTTTTTCTGATGCTTTTCACACAGTCATCTTGCCAAGTACGTTTATATGCCCCTTTTAGGAATATCCATGTTTTATCTAAAAAAAAACGAACTGAAGTGGGCTTGGACTTAAAAAATTTCTCATATATTGCCTCAAAAAATACAGTTGTTTGGAGACAATACATGGTTTCTCACATAGCACTCGTCTACTATATGAAAACTCACAATTTTTCATAAGGCGCCACAAACTTGTATCAGAACCGTCATATAGATGCTTATTTCTTAATTGTGTATTTAGAACTTTAATTGTAACGTGCTCTCCTTTTGGTTTCATGCACTACAGTACATTTCTAATCTCTCCTTTTATAGTATCGCTGACATCATTTCGCTGACATCGTCTTTTTTTTGTACATTACGTGACTCTCCTGGTGTAGTAAGAGCTGTCCCTGTCTTGTATTCACTCTTTATTCTTGTCACTGTGCGAAGACTGATTTTCAAAGCGTCCGCTACTCGTTCATGTACCGATGATAATGAAAGCAAAGGTCCGTTGTTTTCTTTTTCTTTTTTAAAATACTCCAATAAATGAACTACACATTGTCGCATTTCTCCTGTTATCGTTTTTCCCGGCATTTTTTTTATTAAATAGAACAATTAGTTATTCACAACAAAAAATAATAAGTTAAACTGTTCGGAACAAATTCCAACAATGACTGACTAAAATCGACTAAAACAACATAAAATATCAATGGTAATTGCTACAATTATAAACCTATTAGCCAGCTCATTTAAGAACAATGCCACAAGTCATTATTGCAATGGGTATCGGAAAAGAGAGAGTTAATTTATAATAAATTGGAATTTTTAAGGTGTCGAGAGTATTATTTTATGTAATGGAATTCCACACAGTAAGAGCTCAAACTATTAATTAATTAAAAACTGTTTATTTATAAAAACTATTTTATCAGCTACTTCAAACCTGCACAGATCAGGGTAACATGTTAAAAAAAAACACGTCACTGCCAGCTATCTGTATTCGTAAAGAGGCCAAACTTATCACCGACACCGTATCGGCCAAACGCATCGGTGTTATTGCTACAATACTGGGAGACGTGAGTGGTCTCTTCATTCCCTTCTCATCGCACTTTACCATGACGAACGTGACTCGCACAATTGAATTACGCATCTGTGTATCAGAGAAAGACGAATATTAAAAATTCCGTAGTAGCTTTTCAGGCACACGCCAAGAACGATGAAAACGAGTATATCATATTGTAACGCCATTTATAAAGCATTTCTAAGAAAGTTAATAATTTAAAATGAATAGCGAAATTAATTTATTATGGGTGTCTAAACGTGCCCCAGCATTTTTGTCTGTCAACATTTCTTCCATTTTTGTTATTAGGAAACACCCAGTTCAGATTTTCCGAACATAAAAAATTTGTCCGTCACGAAATTTTTAAATAATTCATGAAGTTGTAGTATAGCTTACCGTTTTTCTTCCACTTCGACTCTTTAGGTTGATAAATTGTAAACTATAAAGATTGGTAAGTCTGCATTACTACTAATAATTACTTAATTTTGTGTATGTTATTAACTTCTTCAAAATATTAATTGAGAGATTTCATAAAATCGTAGTCCAACGCCAGATATCAACTTTTCTTTTCTTTGTATTATTAATTGTCCTTTTGACATCCAGTAATGGTATTTATTGAATATTTTACTGCACGCTGGACTATTGTTGTAATCATCAACAAATCACTGTATGCGAATTTTTTCTGGGAAAAGCTTGATACGAAAACCACTACACACTTTACACAACGAAGAAAACTCTATTTAATACGAGACAAAATGACAAAATGTGAGTAAATAATAGACATGCCTAAAAATACTATAGAAAAGACATAGTATATCTATGGTGCATTTAAAAATTTTTATACACAAAGCTTATATTCATCAAACTAATATCGCAAGCAGATTTCAGTTTAGGATACAGTGGATAATAATGCTTAAGCGCTATGGTGAGTACACATTTTATTGTTTTATGAATTAAACTTATCACATAAGTCATCGGATGAAGTGACAAAGAAGTTTGATTTTTACAATAAGTATGGTTATAGAATATTATAAAACAAATCCAAAACATACATTACACATCACAACTTGTTTTTTTATCATACGATCAAATTATATTGTTGTAGGTTTTGTTTTCCTTTCGGGCGCCCTGAAGGCGCATTAAAGGCCACTCTTTCGTTATTAGAAAGGGTTCTCATGAAAGATATTGTCACACCAGTGCCTCCAGAAGAAGTTCGCAGTATGATTAAAAAATGTCTAGAAACTGCGGCCTTAGTTAATTATACTAGGTTATCATCCGAAGCTAAAATTGAAGGTAAGGTAAAAAATTACTACATTTAAAAATACAGAGATTAGTTGATAGGTATTTGGACTAAGAATATGTAATTTTGCAAGTAAGCTTTTCACTATCATTATTATCACTGTCGATACAGCCCTAAAGTAAGCTAGTTTACAGTTTAAGTGGATATTTTTTATTTGGGATAAACAATTAAAATAACGTTTAAACTATTTGACCGATCGCTTTGTAATTTTGATCATATTTTAAGCACTACATTCCATGTAATATGAGGGTTCTAGTTTCAAAATAAAAAAAGACAGCAAATATTTGATTTCATGCAAATAGCGCTTTGTATCTGTTGATACGTATTTCAATCTAATAGGTCTCATCAGAACAGCTATTCAAAGGTGTTTTCAACGTGAAAGATCAATATATTCTGTCTTTTAAGAAGCAACACAAAAATGGCTTCGATACGAACGCAACAGCGACATCTGATAATAAACCGTAAAATAGTTTTCGAAACACAATTCAGATTTCTGCTTTAACCTGTGCTTTTAAAAAATTGTAAAGCAAAACAGACGTTGATGAAGGTGTTAAAAGGGACATGGGGAATCTAAAATTTGCATTCCACTACATGTCTTTCCAACTAAGCAGAAATCCTAAGAGAATTGGTTTCTTGTACTCGTACAGAGTAGATCCGAATAAAATGAAAAAGACAGCAAATATTTGATTTCACGCAAACAGCGCTTTGTATCTGTTGGTACGTATTTCGACCTAATAGGTCTCATCAGAACAGTTATTCAAAGGTGTTCTCAACGTGAAAGATCAATATTTTCTGTCTTTTAAGAAAGCAACACTAAAATGGCTTGGATACGGACGCAATAGCGACATCTGATAATAAAACCGTAAAAGAGTTTTGAAACACAATTCAGATTTCTGCTTTAATCTGTGCTTTCTAAAGATTGCAAAGCAACAGACGTTGATGAAGGTGTTAAAAGGGACATGGGGAATCTATACAAAGCTACAAAGGCGCTGTTTTGCGTGAAATCAAATATTTGCTGTCTTTTTCATTTTATTCGGATCTACTCTGTAAGAGTACAAGAAACCAATTCGCTAAGGATTTCTGCTTAGTTGAAAAGACATGTAGTAGAATGGAAAATTTTAGATTTCCCATGTCCCTTTTAACACCTTCATCAACGTCTGTTTTGCTTTGCAATTTTTAGAAATCACAGATTAAAGCAGAAATCTGAATTGTGTTTCGAAACTATTTTACGGTTCTAGTTTCATTAAGCTAATGAAAGCTAATGAAAGGTTAAATTTCAATTAAGCTAAAGAGCTTCTGTAATTTGTTTTACTAGCGGAAAGTACTAAATACACGATTTATAAGCAAAGAGGAATGTCTTAATATGTAATATATGTATTCAGAATGTTGTTTATTTGTTTGGTTAAGATAGCCACAACACAAGTTAACCTGTTTCAAACTTAAATTTGTACTACGTTTAGTATGAAGTTTTATTGACTTTTTAAGGTTCTCTTAAGGTCTTTCTAAGGTTTTAAAATTAATTTTAATTACTTTGAAACTCACAGAAATTAGTGAGAATTAAACACATACTTATCAACCCAATCTTTTGTTATCACGTATAATGGAATTAGGTTAGGTTATAATTGTATTATCTCGCTACTACTTACAACCCAAGAACTAAGGGTTCTTTTCGCTTTTATTGTTAGATATTATATATGACTCCAACGGTACTGACGGAATAATCTTGTCAAGAAATTTTTTGTATGCACCCATCTCTATATGGATGAGAAAGGGCGACCTTTTCGATCCGGAGTTCTTGGTCAATTAGTGGTATAGGATTCAACTTTTCTTTTCTTTGTATTATTAATTGTCCTTTTGACATCCAGTAATGTTTATTTATTAAATATTTTACTGCACGCTGGACTATTGTTGTAATCATCAACAAATCACTGTATGCGAATTTTTTCTGGGAAAAGCTTGACACGAAAACCACTACACACTTTACACAACGAAGAAAACTCTATTTAATACGAGACAAAATGACAAAATGTGAGTAAATAATAGACATGCCTAAAAATACTATAGAAAAGACATAGTATATCTATGGTGCATTTAAAAAATTTTATACACAAAGCTTCTATTCATCAAACTAATATCGCAAGCAGATTTCAGTTTAGGATACAGTGGATAATAATGCTTAAGCGCTATGGTGAGTACACATTTTATTGTTTTATGAATTAAACTTATCACATAAGTCATCGGATGAAGTGACAAAGAAGTTTGATTTTTACAATAAGTATGGTTATAGAATATTATAAAACAAATCCAAAACATACATTACACATCACAACTTGTTTTTTTATCATAGTCATTACGATCAAATTATATTGTTGTAGGTTTTGTTTTCCTTTCGGGCGCCCTGAAGGCGCATTAAAGGCCACTCTTTCGTTATTAGAAAGGGTTCTCATGAAAGATATTGTCACACCAGTGCCTCCAGAAGAAGTTCGCAGTATGATTAAAAAATGTCTAGAAACTGCGGCCTTAGTTAATTATACTAGGTTATCATCCGAAGCTAAAATTGAAGGTAAGGTAAAGAATTACTACATTTAAAAATACAGAGATTGGTTGATAGGTATTTATTTGGACTAAGAATATGTAATTTTGCAAGCAAGCTTTTCACTATCATTATTATCACTGTCGATACAGCCCTAAACTAGTAGTTTACAGTTTAAGTGGATATTTTTTAATTGGGATAAACAATTAAAATAACGTTTAAACTATTTGACCGATCGCTTTGTAATTTTGATCATATTTTAAGCACTACATTCCATGTAATATGAGGGTTCTAGTTTCAAAATAAAAAAGACAGCAAATATTTGATTTCATGCAAATAGCGCCTTTGTATCTGTTGATACGTATTTCAATCTAATAGGTCTCATCAGAACAGCTATTCAAAGGTGTTTTCAACGTGAAAGATCAATATATTCTGTCTTTTAAGAAGCAACACTAAAATGGCTTCGATACGAACGCAACAGCGACATCTGATAATAAAACCGTAAAATAGTTTCGAAACACAATTCAGATTTCTGCTTTAATCTGTGCTTTCAAAAAATTGCAGCAAAACAGACATTGATGAAGGTGTTAAAAGGGACATGGGGAATCTAAAATTTGCATTCCACTACATGTCTTTCCAACTAAGCAGAAATCCTTAGCGAATTGGTTTCTTGTACTCGTACAGAGTAGATCCGAATAAAATGAAAAAGACAGCAAATATTTGATTTCATGCAAATAGCGCCTTTGTATCTGTTGATACGTATTTCGACCTAATAGGTCTCATCAGAACAGTTATTCAAAGGTGTTCTCAACGTGAAAGATCAATATTTTCTGTCTTTTAAGAAGCAACACTAAAATGGCTTGGATACGGACGCAATAGCGACATCTGATAATAAAACCGTAAAAGAGTTTCGAAACACAATTCAGATTTCTGCTTTAATCTGTGCTTTCTAAAGATTGCAAAGCAACAGACGTTGATGAAGGTGTTAAAAAGGACATGGGGAATCTATACAAAGCTACAAAGGCGCTGTTTGCGTGAAATCAAATATTTGCTGTCTTTTTCATTTTATTCGGATCTACTCTGTAAGAGTACAAGAAACCAATTCGCTAAGGATTTCTGCTTAGTTGAAAAGACATGTAGTGGAATGGACAATTTTAGATTCCCCATGTCCCTTTTAACACCTTCATCAACGTCTGTTTTGCTTTGCAACTTTTAAAAATTACAGATTAAAGTAGTAATCTGAATTGTGTTTTGAAACTATTTTACGGTTCTAGTTTCATTAAGCTAAAGAAAGCTAATGAAAGGTTAAATTTCAATTAAACTAAAGAGCTTCTGTAATTTGTTTTACTAGCGGAAAGTACTAAATACACGATTTATAAGCAAAAAGGAATGTCTTAATTGTAATATATGTATTCAGAATGTTGTTTATTTGTTTGGTTAAGATAGCCACAACATAAGTTAACATGTTTCAAACTTAAATTTGTACTACGTTTAGTATGAAGTTTTATTGACTTTTTAAGGTTCTCTTAAGGTCTTTCTAAGGTTTTAAAATTAATTTTAATTACTTTGAAACTCACAGAAATTAGTGAGAATTAAACACATTACTTATCAACCCAATCTTTTGTTATCACGTATAATGGAATTAGGTTAGGTTATAATGTATTATCTCGCTACTACTTACAACCCAAGAACTAAGGGTTCTTTTCGCTTTCATTGTTAGATATTATATATGACTCCAACAGTACTGCCGGAATAATCTTGTTAAGAAATTTTTTGTATGCACCCATCTCTGTATGGATGAGCAGGGGCGACCTTTTCGATCCGGAGTTCTTGGTCAATTAGTGGTGTAGGATAGTATAACAAAATGGTATATTATATTAATTACATTAACATAAATTTTGCTCACCATTCTTTATTTATTGCTGATGTTCTTACTCATACTAATGTCTGTATTTTTCTTTCTCTAATGATATCAAGTGTTCTATCTTTTGCTTCTCTTGGTCTTCCATTATATTTGCTTGCCACGTTTCTTACAGTGATAAGCAGTAGTTTCGATAAGCATTAATTTGTTTTTAATTTTTCGTTAAGTTCTAGATATTCCATATTATAACAGTTTTCTTCAGAATGTGTGTATACAGGGTGTTTCAAAAAGGTATATCATAAATTAAATCACGCATTCCGGGGACAAAAATAAATTGATTGAATTCTTTCAATGCCTACTTTATTTCTGATTTGCTTATTTCGGGCTGCAGCTCTGAGTTGACATTTTTTATTTTGAACTTAAGTTGGTTTTTAATTTCTTCTGGTGGTTCCCTTTTTGTTTTATATAATTTTGAGTAGAAATGGTGGATTATATTTATGATGTCATCTTTAACGTTTGTTTCTATTCCATTTACATCTTTTATTTTGTTTATTTCAAACTTACCTAATTTCGGCCTTAAGCATTTCATATTTTTGTTGTTTTGTATTACTTCTTCTATTTTTATTTCTTGTTCTTTTCTCTTATTTTCTTTTATCATTCTGCTTGTTGTTTTATTAATTTCTACATATTCTATAGATTTCCTTTTGCCTTCTTCATTCAGCTTCCTTCTTTTATCCATAAGCTTCTTTGTTTCTGTTGATATATAGTTGTTCTTTTTTAGATCCTTCTTGCTATTTCTTTTGCTGATGTAATCATTGTTGCTGTAAGTATGTTGTCTATTTCGTCTATATCTTTATCGTCACTGTCTAATCTTTGGGTAAGTTGTTCTTTTAATAGGTTTTTGTATATCTCTTTATATTGCCCTAGTTTGTTTCTATCTAATATATTCCAGTTTCTTTTCATCTCATAGTTACCGTCAATACTAATTTTTGCTCTGACCATCCTGTGATCGCTACCTGTTGTGAATCTGTTAAGAACTGTTACATCTTTACTGGTATATCGTTCCGTGGACAGTATGAAGTCGATCTCATTTTTTGTGGATCCATTAGGGCTGATCCATGGCCACTTTCGTTGGGGCTTCTTTTTGTAAAAGGAGTTCATTGCGTATAGATGCTTTTCTTCTAGGTAGTTCATCAAAGTATCAGCTCTATCATTTCTCTGACCATACCTGAAATCTCCTATTTTAGTTTTTTTTATACCCAGTTTGGCATTGAAATCTCCAATTACTAGTGTAAGATGATTTTTATGTTCTTCCATAGCCTTTGATATATCTTCATAAAATAGTTCGATATTTTCTTCATCATAAGCTGTCGTGAAGGCATATACCTGGATAATTTTAATTGATGTTCTTCTTATTTTAAGTATGACATAGGCGACACGATCTGATATACCTTTGATAATTTGGACGTGCTTACTTATAGCTTTATTTATTACAAATCCTACTCCAAATTTACTATTCATTTCATTTCCTTTATAATATAGTAGATTACCAGATTTTAGCTGTATTCGGTTTTCTTCTTTTCTTCGAGTTTCTGATAGGCCTATGATATCCCATTTTATGTTTGTTAATTCTTCTTCCAGTTCATGTACTTTTTCATCTATGGACATTGATCTAATGTTGTATGTCCCTATTGACAGGTTGACGGGTTTTTTTTGATTTATGTTGTGCTCGTTTTAGTGGATTTTTGTTTTTATCAATCAAAAGCGAATTATTGCCTCCCCCAGATACCGTGAGGCAGACCTTTGAGGTGTCATAAATTAGCGGTAATAAATAGTTGGGTAAGTCCATTTTTACTAAGCGAGGAGAGTCCGTTACCCAACATGTAAAACTTTTTAAATCTATGATTATAAAAAAAATCTTTAAATAGAAAAAATAATAAATAAACAATAAAATTACTTTATTTAATTTTAAAAATATTATTTTAAACTTAAAAATACAGAAAACAGTATGAAAGTTCGCGCTAGTCTACATTACCGTCTACTATACTATACTACTTTTTTTGTTGTTTACCTTTTACTAAAATATCTGTCTTTGGGTATTTCAGAAGATTTACGAGGGGATACTTTAGTATCCCCAAATAAGAAACTCGACGATTTAATTCACTTGGCAGAACTTTGTGTGGATTTACTGCAACAAAACGAGGAGCATTATGCAGAGGTAACAAAGGATATATTTATTGGATATCAAATACTTGTCAAATTTTCAATTTGTAAGATGTAGGTAAAAAATTTCTACAGGATATAGTCTGAAACTTTCAACAAAGTTTATCGGTACGTGAACTTCTGTGCAATAAGAAACGAAAACAGTTTTTAATAATCGATTACGTGATGTTAAAAAGCATTTTATATACTTGAATATATGATACGTACTAATATGTTCTATTTCAGCTTTTGATTTAATTTTTTCTTTATATACAGAGGAGATGCCTTCGCTCAAAATTCAGTATGGCACATTAAGAAGATGAATATGAAAATCAGTTACTTTTATCTCTTCTATCTATACCTGCAATATAGATCTTCAACTTAACTCTTTCCATTCCTTCAAACTAATTGTTAAAGAATTTTTTTCATTCCATTATTTTTTTTTATTTTACCACATACTTCAGGCACAGAAATAATAATTGTGTTCCATTTCAAATTGACCGTTCTAGGCTACTCTAAAGTGTTTTACATGACCAGTTTGTCTGAAAACATAGAGGACGGTTTAGAATCACTGTTAAAATATTAAACACATCTTTTTTTACTCTGGAAGCTGTCTGTTCTACATCAATCGTACTACAGCAAGTTGACTTATTGTACATATTCCATGAACTACTTACAAGTCCTTAAGACTGCAGCAGATCTACTATATGTAGACTTTTCTACAACACCCAATAGACATTTTACTTGACCCTGTTGTACACGTGCTCTTCTATCAACAAAATTTTCAAAATCCAAAATCTTTTCACAGAAATGAATGAATTTGTACGCATAGATAACACTACGGAGGAACAATCGACTGAGCATTTCACGAAATTATATGGAGAAAGAGAGGAAGAGAACAGAAAAATAATCATTAACGAAACCCACGATAGAGTACTTATATCAGAAGAAGAGCTACAAGAACGAATAAAAAAATTAAAAAACAGAAAAGAACCTGGTCCTGATAAGATAAACAAGGAATTGCTAAAATATGGAGGAACAACACTACGCAGATGGCTCCTAAAATTATTCGCCGATATAATAAATACCGGAGTAGTACCAGCGGAATGGAAGGAAAGTCTCCTGCTACCGATACTTAAAAAGGAAGACTGGAGAAATCCTGAAAATTATAGAGGCGTGGTCTGATGAATAGTACATTAAAATTGTTAACGGCAGTCATAAACGATAAAATCGAGGAAAAAGCGAAAATGGCAGATGAACATCAAGGCTTCCGGAAGAAACGCAACACAATAGACGCAATTTTTATTGTTAGACAAATAATAGAGAAGTCTATTGAATATGGAAAACTAAGATATATGTGCTTTGTAGATTTAAAAAGTGCTTTTAATAGGGTGAAACGAAATGGCATCTTAAATTTATTACAAGCTGAACAAATAGACCATCACTTAATAAGGACAATTAATAAAATTAACAAGAACAACATGACCAGAGTTATAATGCCAACAGGAGAAACAGAATGCATAGAACTAAAAGAAGGAATCCGAAAAGGAGACTCGCCCAGCCCATTGTTAATCAATATGGTGATGAATCAAATAATTCACGAAGTAAGGAAACGATACGGATACCACATGGGAGCGCATAAAATTACGATACTATGTTATGCCGATGATGCAGTACTAATTGCTAATAACGAAGATGACCTACAAAGGCAGCTCGACACCTTCAATATCACAGCAAATAAATTTAATATGAGAATATCAGTAGAAAAAACTAAATGTATAGTGTAATGTATGGTGATCAGTAAAGCCGAGTAGATGCAAACTAGAAATAGACGGTAAAATTGTAGAACAAGTAATCAAATTTAATTACCTAGGAGTAGAGATCACTAGTGACAGGGATACAAGAACAGAGACCTTAAGGCAAGCATCAAAAGCCGCAAGAGTAAGTGGTTGCCTCCGAGAAACCATAGGGAGAAACAAATATCTGACCACGGAAAGCAAAATGAAAGTATACAAGAAAAAAAAACTGGAACGAACATGTATACCGAATGGGACCCGATAGATTAGCAAACATCTGTAAAAACAATAAACCGTATAGCAGATGACCCGTTGGAAGGCCGTCAAAAAGATGGAAAGATAATGTTCAGTCAACAACGACTGAAACAGAAATTAAGACTTATGTGGGATACAATTTTTAGGACGTAGGTTGCCTCCCTCTTCATTCCCTTTTCCCTTGATCGATATTTTTATTTCTGAAACCAGAAGATTCATTCATTTCTGCGTCTTCTTGTGTTTTTTTGTAACCGTATCCATGCTATCCCTACGAATTGTAAGCTGCAAGCACGCTAGCATCGATATCGTTCTAAGGCTATAATACCCAGAGTTCGCCAGCTCTCTGGGCATCGCTTGGACAACACTATTTGAAGTGGAGTAAGTAAGCACTACTATATTTTTAAACATTTATAATAGATGGGTACAAACAATGTCCAGAAATAAAAATGTAAACAAATATAATTTGTTTAAGGAAGAACTATACTGTCAAAATATTATACGAGGTGTGTTCAAAAAATACCCGAAATTTTCATGTTTAAAAAAGATATTTATTTATTTGTCTACATTAATGTTTTCTCCTTCAAAGTAGTCCCCACTATGCACTTTTGCCAACACTTCTGCCAATCCTTGAAACACTTCTCAAACCAGATTTTGGATAGCCACTAGTTCTATCAGCGATGCACTTTTGAAGTCATATATGCTTGTGAAACAACGGCCCTTGTTTTCTCTATTTTTGGAAATCCAGGAAACACACGGAGTCATATCTTTCGAATATGGAGACTAAGGCATCATTACAGTATGGTTTTTTACTAAAAATTTACTAACAAAGAATGAAGCCTAAGGTGGTGCTTTATCGTGATGCAAAAGCCATGATTTCTTTTGTCACAAATCCGGTCTCTTTTTTGGATTCCTTTACTCGAACAGCGTTAAACTTGTAGGTAGTAATCTTTATTGACTGCACTTGTCGAACCTTTTTTGGTCTTGGTGAATTAGAATGTAATATTCAACATCACATTATAAAAAATAATTAGGGAGTCAAAAGTTAACAAGGAACAAGAAACAGTCAAGGAACAATAATAACAAAAAGTGTACAAATATTGGCATTTTCAGATGATGTTGATATCATAGCTAGAAGCGAAAGAGAAATGATAGAAGCGTTTAATTCGATAGAAAGAGCGGCACAAAACACTGGCCTAAACATTAACGAAATAAAAACCAAATACATGATGGCTAGTAAATCGATAGGCCAAAGAAACCTACAGAATCTGACAATAGGAGACTATAACATCGAAAAAGTTCATGTCAGTGAAAAGTTAAGAGAAGAATAATTATCGCTAATAAAACTTATAATGAACTGATTTAACATCTGAGATCTACCAACATCACAAGAAAAACCAAATGCGGTAAACACCAGTAGGAAGAAGGTCAAAGGGAAGACCCAAACTTAGATACATGGAAGAAGTAGAACAAAATCTGAAAACACTTAAGATTGCCAACTGGAAAAACAAAGCAAGGAACAGAACAGAATGGAGGAAAATCCTAGAAGAAGCCAGGACCGAGAAAGGGTTTTCGAGCTACTGATGATGATGAAATAGAATGTCTCTAATGGAACCATTGAACCTTAGTTTCGAATTCATATCCATAAACCTATGTTTCGTTACCTGTTCTAACCATTTTCAGTCAATCTGAGTCGTCGTTTACGTCATTTAGTGACTTTAGGAACAAATTTTACTGCCACGCATTTCATACCCAAAACGTTTGAAAAAATGTCATGGTATGAGCCAACTAATATGCCAACTTCATCAGCGACTTCTCTTGATTGTGACGCGGTGGTCGTTCATAACCATTTCTGTCACTTTTTTTACGTTTTTATCGGTTCTTGATCATAAGGCGTCCGGGGACTTCATTATCTTTAACGTTTTCACGGCCATCTTGGAAACGTTTTTATCATTCGTAAACATTAATTTTTTTCATAGCATGTTTACCAGGCCTTTTTAACATTTGAGGTACTATACTACACTTTATTTCATTTTTTAGGCAAAATTTAATATATAAATTCTTTGATCCATTTTTTTAAATAAATAAATTTCGCTGAGCTCATAAAAACCATCGAGTCTTAGCGACTACCACAGAAATATTTTAGAAGCATGTATACCAACATAATAACCCGCGAAATTTAAAAATTCCGGGTATTTTTTGAACAAACCTCATAACACAGCACAAGAAGCCATAGGGTATAAAGAACATATGTCAAGCTAAGATTCGGAGTGGTGATCACAAGAAATAAGACAATATGACTAAATTTCTCAACAATTCTCAACATTGCCCTTTTATTAAACTTTTATAAGAGCTGAAATACTGTTCTAATCCTTAACCTTATCCTTAGTATTTCAACCATTTTTTGAAGACGATTTTAATACTAGAGCAATATTTATATGACAATGATAAGTATTCCAAATGTAACATACAGAGTTCACGTGCAATTTCATAATTTGGTACCATTTATTGTGTTGAATCCGTTATTGTTTATTAAGGGTCTACACAGTTAATCAATAATTCTTAAATAGCTCAGAGAACTAGGATCAGATCAACGGGTGGTGGATTGAGGTGATGGTTTTTAATTATTACATAGCAACAATTAGAAGTCTAAAATTACACATCTTGCTATATTTTCGTGCAAGTAAAGAGTTTTATGCACGACTTAAAAAAATTCAAGAAATCGGTCTAATAAATGATGTAAAAATCTTCAGAAAAAACTTTTGCTGAATGTTGATATACTTATTGATTGCTTCTCGCCTTCTTCAGATGCAAATCCACTAATGGATGTTCTATCTATCTAATTAGCCTTCTTCGGTTCATCTCTGGACATAGGCCTCCCCAATCCTTTTCCATTCTTCTCTGTCTGTCGCTACAGTCATCCATCTAGAGCCCACGTGCTTTTTGATATCATCTGCCCATCTCATTT